TAGGTTGTCACCTGTGCAATAAGGCCATCCGTGACATTTCCTTGCTACTAAATATTCCACAGTCAACTGTTAGTGGTATTTTAACAAAGTGGAAGTAACTGAGAACAACAGCAACTCAGCCACAAAGTGGTAGGCCATGTAAAATGACAGAGCGGGGTCAGCGCATGCTGAAGTGCACAGTGCGCAGAAGTCGCCAACTGTCTGCAGAGTCAATAGCTAAAGACCTCCAAACTTCATGTGGCCTTCAGATTAGCACAACAACAGTGCGTAGAGAGCTTCATGGAATGGGTTTCCATGGCCAAGTAGCTGCATCCAGCCTTACATCACCAAGTGCAATGCAAGCGTCGGATGCAGTGGTGTAAAGCACGCCGCCACTGGTCTCTAGAGCAGTGGAGACGTGTTCTCTGGAGTGACGGATCACCCTTCTCTGTCTGGCAATCCAATGGATGTGTATGGGTTTGGTGGTTGCCAGGAGAACAGTATTTGCCTGACTACATTGTGCCAAGTGTAAAGTTTGGTGGAAGGGTGGATTATGGTGTGGGGTTGCTTTTCAGGGGTTGGGCTTGGCCTCTTGGTTCCAGTGAAGGGTACTCTTAAAGTGTCAGCATACCAAGAGAATTTGGACAATTTCATGCTCCCAACTCTGTGGGAACAGATTGGGGATGGCCCTTTCCTGTTCCATCATGACTGCGCACCAGTACACAAAGCAAGGTCCATAAAGACATGGATGAGCCAGTTTGGGGTGGAGGAACTTGACTGGCCTGCACAGAGTCCTGACCTCAACCCGATAGAACACCTTTGGGATGACTTAGAGTGGAGACTGCGAGCCAGGCCTTCTCGTCTGACATCAGTGCCTGAACTCACAAACGCCCCCTTCTGGAAGAATGGTCAAACCTTCCCATAGACACACTCGTAAACCTTGTGGATAACCTTCTCAGAAGAGATGAAGCTGTTATAGCTGCAAAGGGTGGGCCAACTCAATATTGAACCCTACGGACTAAGACTGGGATGCCATTAAAGTTCATGTGCATGTAAAGGCAGGCGTCCCAATACTTTCGGCAATAGACTGTATGTACATAAAGTGTGCTGGCACTGAAGAGGTTAGCCAAGGTAGCCCTCCGAGCTGTAGACTATAGCGCGTCTTTTCCTGGTCGGCTATACACTGAGGTAGGCCGTGTAAGGGTAAATGAAGGCTCCTATAGGCAGTGTTAAGTCTTTTCCCGGTCGGCTGTACACTCAGGTAGGTCATGTACGGGTAAATGAAGGCTCCTATAGGCAGTGTCAGGTTTTTCCCGGTCGGCTATACACTGAGGTAGGTCGTGTACGGGTAAATGAAGGCTCCTACAGGCAGTGTCAGGTCTTTTCCCGGTCGGCTATACACTGAGGTAGGTCGTGTACGGGTAAATGAAGGCTCCTACAGGCAGTGTCGGGTCTTTTCCCGGTCGGCTATACACCGAGGTAGGTCGTGTACGGGTAAATGAAGGCTCCTACAGGCAGGCTATACACTGAGGTAGGTCGTGTACGGGTAAATGAAGACTCCTACAGGCAGGCTATACACCGAGGTAGGTCGTGTACGGGTAAATGAAGGCTCCTACAGGCAGTGTCGGGTCTTTTCCCGGTCGGCTATACACGGAGGTAGGTCGTGTACGGGTAAATGAAGGCTCCTACAGGCAGTGTCGGGTCTTTTCCCGGTCGGCTATACACGGAGGTAGGTCGTGTACGGGTAAATGAAGGCTCCTACAGGCAGTGTTGGGTCTTTTCCCGGTCGGCTATACACCGAGGTAGGTCGTGTACGGGTAAATGAAGGCTCCTACAGGCAGGCTATACACCGAGGTAGGTCGTGTACGGGTAAATGAAGGCTCCTACAGGCAGGCTATACACCGAGGTAGGTCGTGTACAGGTAATTGAAGGCTCCTATAGGCAGGCTATACACCGAGGTAGGTCGTGTACAGGTAATTGAAGGCTCCTATAGGCAGTGTCAGGTCTTTCTCGGACGGCTATACACCGAGGTAGGTCGTGTACGGGGAATTGAAGGCTCCTATAGGCAGTGTCAGGGTCTTTCTCGGACGGCTATACACCGAGGTAGGTCGTGTACGGGGAATTGAAGGCTCCTATAGGCAGTGTCAGGTTCTTCTCGGTCAGCTATACACCGAGGTAGGTCGTGTACGGGTAATTGAAGGCTCCTACAGGCAGTGTCAGGTTTTTCCAGCTCCTATATTACCTTCTCCACTCTGGTTGCTTTTCAGGGGTTGGGCTTGGCCTCTTGGTTCCAGTGAAGGGTACTCTTAAGGTGTCAGCATACCAAGAGAATTTGGACAATTTCATGCTCCCAACTCTGTGGGAACAGATTGGGGATGGCCCTTTCCTGTTCCATCATGACTGCGCACCAGTACACAAAGCAAGGTCCATAAAGACATGGATGAGCCAGTTTGGGGTGGAGGAACTTGACTGGCCTGCACAGAGTCCTGACCTCAACCCGATAGAACACCTTTGGGATGCCTTAGAGTGGAGACTGCGAGCCAGGCCTTCTCGTCTGACATCAGTGCCTGAACTCACAAACGCCCCCTTCTGGAAGAATGGTCAAACCTTCCCATAGACACTCTCGTAAACCTTGTGGATAACCTTCTCAGAAGAGATGAAGCTGTTATAGCTGCAAAGGGTGGGCCAACTCAATATTGAACCCTACGGACTAAGACTGGGATGCCATTAAAGTTCATGTGCATGTAAAGGCAGGCGTCCCAATACTTTCGGCAATAGAGTGTATGTACATAAAGTGTGCTGGCACTGAAGAGGTTAGCCAAGGTAGCCCTCCGAGCTGTAGACTATAGCGCGTCTTTTCCTGGTCGGCTATACACCGAGGTAGGCCGTGTAAGGGTAAATGAAGGCTCCTACAGGCAGGCTATACACCGAGGTAGGTCGTGTACGGGTAAATGAAGGCTCCTACAGGCAGTGCCGGGTCTTTTTCCAGTCTGTTAAACACTGAGCTAGGTCGTGTACGGGTAATTGAAGGCTCCTATAGGCAGTGCCGGGTCTTTTCCAGTCTGTTAAACACTGAGGTAGGTCGTTGTACGGGTAAATGAAGGCTCCTACAGGCAGGCTATACACTGAGGTAGGTCGTGTACGGGTAATTGAAGGCTCCTATAGGCAGTGTCAGGTCTTTCTCGGTCGGCTATACACCGAGGTAGGTCGTGTACGGGTAATTGAAGGCTCCTACAGGCAGTGTCAGGTCTTTCTCGGTCGGCTATACACCGAGGTAGGTCGTGTACGGGTAAATGAAGGCTCCTATAGGCAGTGTCAGGTCTTTCTCGGTCGGCTATACACCGAGGTAGGTCGTGTACAGGTAATTGAAGGCTCCTATAGGGAGTGTCGGGTCTTTCTCGGTAGGCTATACACTGAGGTAGGTCGTGTACGGGTAAATGAAGGCTCCTACAGGCAGGCTATACACCGAGGTAGGTCGTGTACGGGTAAATGAAGGCTCCTACAGGCAGGCTATACACCGAGGTAGGTCGTGTACGGGTAAATGAAGGCTCCTACAGGCAGGCTATACACCGAGGTAGGTCGTGTACGGGTAAATGAAGGCTCCTACAGGCAGGCTATACACCGAGGTAGGTCGTGTACGGGTAAATGAAGGCTCCTACAGGCAGGCTATACACCGAGGTAGGTCGTGTACGGGTAAATGAAGGCTCCTACAGGCAGGCTATACACCGAGGTAGGTCGTGTACGGGTAAATGAAGGCTCCTACAGGCAGGCTATACACCGAGGTAGGGTCGTGTACGGGTAAATGAAGGCTCCTACAGGCAGGCTATACACCGAGGTAGGTCGTGTACGGGTAAATGAAGGCTCCTACAGGCAGGCTATACACCGAGGTAGGTCGTGTACGGGTAAATGAAGGCTCCTACAGGCAGGCTATACACCGAGGTAGGTCGTGTACAGGTAATTGAAGGCTCCTATAGGCAGTGTCAGGTCTTTCTCGGTCGGCTATACACCGAGGTAGGTCGTGTACGGGTAAATGAAGGCTCCTACAGGCAGTGTCGGGTCTTTTCCCGGTCGGCTATACACTGAGGTAGGTCGTGTACGGGTAATTGAAGGCTCCTACAGGCAGGCTATACACCGAGGTAGGTCGTGTACGGGTAATTGAAGGCTCCTACAGGCAGGCTATACACCGAGGTAGGTCGTGTACGGGTAAATGAAGGCTCCTACAGGCAGTGTCAGGTTTTTCCAGCTCCTATATTACCTTCTCCACTCTGGTTACAACAAAACTCGGAGCCCTATTCCAGCACCATGACGTCACCCCCTTATCGCTAACACACAGCGAGACTTTCCAGTATTACAGCCCACTACAAAGTACAACCTCTCCGTGCCCTTAGGACAATGACGACATCCCCATATGACACGTTCCTCACATTTAGCCCCCCCCCCCGGTGATGTCACCGCGGCTGATTGACAGTTTCACTGATAGTGTGTCACCTCCCGCCGGGGGTACCGCCCTCAACCTGCTGCATGCTGCGTAAGAGGAGGGGCTTCCCTGCTGGGGGACTGGCCGCCTTGTAGTCAAGATGGGCGTGGCTGACGTAGGGGGACAACACGGGTGTGCTCGGAATTGTCGTGGTGCTGATGAGTGAGTGAGCCGGACATGGGGTGGGCGTGGAGTGTGCAGGGAGGCGTGGCTACGTGTCTGGCGGAGAAGGGTGGTTGAGCAGGGGTGCCGCTCTTGCGCCGGTGTCACTTACAGCTCTTGGTGTTCTCGGAGATAGTGCTGCTTGAGGCGGCGAGCTCCACACAGACCGTTCACTGAGGGATTGAGGGAGGCGGAGGAGCCAGGGACACCTACACACTGCTTCACTCTTCCGCTCCAGAGCCCGCTGCGTCCATGTCGTGCTGTGTGAGGCATCGCTGACACTTGTCACTGGTCTGCCCGGACGCCGAACCACCACTCGCCCACACAGGAGACAAGCAGGAGGAGGAGATCTTCATAGTGCTCGGTGTCATCTCTCCCGGTTATGGCCGTCCTGGATCTGGCCCTGCAGGGACTCGCCATCTTCGGCGTCGTCCTCTTCTTCGTCTTATGGTTCATGCATTTCTTATCCATTATTTACACGTGAGTAATCACATCAGCATCTATCTGGGTGTCAGAGGGAGGGATCACACCCCCTGAGAGTCTGCACAGGGTATGTCACCCCATCCCTACCAATCATATAGGTCTGATCTTCCTGGGCTTCTGTCATCTCTACTATATACCCTCCAGCTTCTACAGCACACCTTACCTGCAAAAATGTTCACATCTCCGGGACACCTTGTACAAACCACTTCACTGCTCACTAGTCATAGGAACGCCCCCTTCATTGGTGGCCAGTCAGAGGAACGCCTCCTATGTTGGTGGCCTATAGGAAGAATGCCTTCCTTGTATTGGTGGTCAGATGGAAGAATGTTTCCCCATTCCATTGGTGGTCAGTTCAAAGAAAGTGTCCCCCCCCCCCCTCCCCCCCGCCCCCTCCCCCCCCCCCCCCCCCCATTCATTGGTGGTCAGGTCAAAGAAAGTGCCCCCCTCCCCCGATTCATTGGTGGTCAGGTCAAAGAAAGTGCCCCCCTCCCCCCCATTCATTGGTGGTCCGTCAAAGAAAGTGCCCCCTTTCCCCCAATCATTGGTGCTCAGGTCATAGAAAGTGTCCCCCCCATTCATTGGTTGTCGGGTCAAAGAAAGTGTCCCCTCCCCATTCATTGGTGGTCAGGTCAGAGAAAGTATCCCCTCCCCATTCATGGTGGTGGTCAGGTCAAAGAAAGTGTCCCCTCCCCATTCATTGGTGGTCAGGTCAAAGAAAGTGTCCCCTCCCCATTCATTGGTTGTCGGGTCAAAGAAAGTGTCCCCCCCCCCCCCCCCCCATTCATTGGTGGTCAGGTCAAAGAAAGTGCCCCCCTCTCCCCCGATTCATTGGTGGTCAGGTCAAAGAAAGTGCCCCCCTCCCCCACATTCATTGGTGGGCCGTCAAAGAAAGTGCCCCCTTTCCCCCAATCATTGGTGCTCAGGTCATAGAAAGTGTCCCCCCCCATTCATTGGTTGTCGGGTCAAAGAAAGTGTCCCCTCCCCATTCATTGGTGGTCAGGTCAGAGAAAGTATCCCCTCCCCATTCATTGGTGGTCAGGTCAAAGAAAGTGTCCCCTCTCCATTCATTGGTGGTCAGGTTAAAGAAGGTGCCCCCCCCTCGGTTCATTGGTTGTCAGGTCAAAGGATGTGCCCCTCCCCCTTCTATTGGTGGTCAGGTCAAAGGATGTGCCCCTCCCCCGTCCATTGGTGGTCAGGTCAAAGGATGTGCCCCTCCCCCGTCCATTTGGTGGTCAGGTCAAAGGATGTGCCCCTCCCCCGTCCATTTGGTGGTCAGGTCAAAGGATGCGCCCCTCCCCCGTCCATTGGTGGTCAGGTCAAAGGATGCGCCCCTCCCCCGTCCATTGGTGGTCAGGTCAAAGGATGCGCCCCTCCCCCGTCCATTGGTGGTCAGGTCAAAGGATGCGCCCCTGCCCCGTCCATTGGTGGTCAGGTCAAAGGATGCGCCCCTGCCCCGTCCATTGGTGGTCAGGTCAAAGGATGCGCCCCTCCCCCGTCCATTGGTGGTCAGGTCAAAGGATGCGCCCCCTCCCCCGTCCATTGGTGGTCAGGTCAAAGGATGCGCCCCTCCCCCGTCCATTGGTGGTCAGGTCAAAGGATGCGCCCCTCCCCCGTCCATTGGTGGTCAGGTCAAAGAAAGTGCCCCCTGTTAATTGGTGGTCAGGTCAGTGCCCCCTGTTCATTGGTGATCAGGTGGAGGAATGCCCCCGTTCATTGGTGGTCAGGTGGAGGAGTTGCCTCCCCAAACATTGGTGGTCATCAGGTGGAGGATTGAAGACCCCCGTTCATTGGTTGTCAGGTGGAGGGATGCCCCCCATTGAGGTCATGCTGCATCTGATTGTTGGTGTTGACCCTGGAACTATGCAGGCACCATCAGATGGGAGGATAGTCAGTCACAGCTCGAACCCTTGCATTCTACCGAACTCTGAGAATGATTGCTCTAACAAACTGGATCTGATCATCTCACATCTGCTCCTAACTATACAATGCAGTGCTGGTAAATCATTCCATCTGATTTTCAGTGAAAACCTGCTAAAACCGTGTCCTTCCTCCACTGTGCTTCAGAGACAGGCCAGGGGCTGCTAAATGGAGCAATCCTTGATAGGTGGGCTAGGCTGATGGATCATTCTTTGCCTGACAACTCACCGAAGCAATTTTGACAAGTATATGAGCCTGTACATCTCATGTCAATGCAATGCAAGTGTAGCCGGCTTCTATGACTGGCTTTGCACAGTACCAGTGTATAGACAGACATGTGGCTGTCATTAATTGTGTAGTATGTGCTTTTAACATGGATATCCCTACAGTGGATGTATGGACAAATGTGCTATTGATAGCCGTGCTGCTTTGAATGGTATGGATTTTTGAGAATGGCAAGAGGAAGAAGCTGCTTACAGGAAGGGGGAAGGAGTATTTTCTTGCTGTCATGCTGCTGCTATTGACATTTGAAGTGTCTGCTCAAGCAGTTTAGAAACAGGAACATCTAGGCCTTCTTTTACCCCGATTTGGATGGCCATTTATAGCTTTGTTGATACCACACATTTTTAAGTGCATACCATGTATCGTTACTGTTTGAAAAGGAATATTCCAGTAGAAGGGATGAAATCCTATGATTTGTATTACAACTGAATGCAACCAATGTGCCTGGATTACTTGTCATCTATGACTTTGACATTTCAAAATCTGTTTGTGGTCAAAAGTGTTTTGATGAGCAGAAAAGAGCCAGATACACCAGACTGCAGAATATTCAGCACACATTACTAACATTGCTGAGGCTACCTAGTTTCCAGTATGCAGGCTTTGAAAAGAAGGATGTGGTGGCTCCAATGTACATTCTAAGACTAATGTGTGTAATAGACTTGCTGCAATGTTATTTCAGCATAATAAATGTGTTGTTGGTGTCTAAGTTATGCAGAATTGCTGAGTATCCTAGTTTTAGCTCATTATGGTCTCCCATGATAATGCATAATTAACTTTTACTCTTTGCTCACTTTGAAGAAGAAATTGCTACAATAAGATGATTAAACTTTCTACTGCATCAGCAGATCACATGACATTTTATTGCAATAGTTTGTGGCAAGTTAGGAGCGTGCTGTGGGGATATCATGTAAATGTAGTCCATGTCGTGTTGCCTTTCATTGTTTTAAATTGCCGCTTTCCATTCCATATTTCACAGGATCTGTGGTGGTGGATTAAGATCTGTTTAGATCTAGTATCCTGTAGCCATAGAATCGTTTATTTATAAACCTGTTCACAAAATTGGTTTAAAGACTAACTCCACCTTAGTAACATGTTACATTATTATTATCATCATACAGGATTTGTATAGCGCCAACAGTTTACTCAGCGCTTTACAATATAACGGGAGACAATACAGTTCAATACAAGAGGGTTAGGAGGGCCCTGTTCCTTGGAGCTTACAATCTACATGTAGGTTCTTCTCCCCTGCAGCTGCCATCACATTTGAAATGTTAGAATGAATGAACTACAAGTCCCCATCTGCTGGTAATCAGCGTACTCATGGTTCATTGACAGTTCCTCCAGGTCTCCAATTGAAAGGCCGTACATAGGTATGGGCAGGTAGCTAGAGGAAGAGTTTGCAGAAGCCTGACATTGCACTCGTAATCAATCCACTGATCATGAGTGCAGTACATTGCAGGTTCGTGTGGTGAAAAAACTGCACATTTTCTTCCTGCACAATGTGTGTATTTATTTTGTTAAAGGAGATCTTAACCTTTAATAGGAATAAAATCTACACACACACAATGAGAACATCAGATGAATGATCGTCTTTTTCTTTTTGTATGCTAGTTTCAAATAAAACAAAGAAGAGGATACTAAAGTTATGAAAATTCTCATACAATAGAATACAACTTCAGAAGCAATGTCATGTATTGTAAAGTATTTTTTTTTTTTTTTGTTTCTGAACATGGTCTTAATCACTCAATTTTTTTTTTTACGGACGAATACTGTACTGATTAAAAGAAAATTGTTCTGGTATTGTACAAGAACAATTATCATTCTTGTCCCTTCGGATAATTTCACATGAACTGTCATGATCAGCTCTCAAAAGCTGTGTAATAATGATCAGATTATTGGATGATCACTTTGAAAGCGGTATTTTTCGTCCAATTTTCCTATCTCGTGTACTAGGCATTAGTCGGAATGTATCCTTGCAGTGGGCCCTCCTGCACTGCAAGGGGTTAATGAATTGTTCAGTATAGGGCTGCAGGTATAAGAAGCAATACTTTATTCCTCACTCCAGCAGGGTCCTTTCGGTGGTGCCACTGGTACTGCGAAGCTTGCTCTCCTAAGGGGTTCCTGGCCATGGTCGCACTCTTGCCTCCTTCACGTACAGTGCAGGTAATAGACCAACATTGCATGTGATGATCCAGAGGGATGGTCCACAGCCCAGGAAGAAGAAGAGTGCTAAAGCAAGCTGGGGCAGGATTTTGTAAAAGGTTACAGCTTTTTCATCTCCCCCTAGACTCAGTGAGTTTAACCTGTCCAGTTTATGTGGCCCATGGCAAGTCTCAATTTTGTCTAGTTGCAGGAGTTTGACTTTAAGCTTTTATGTGCCTAAAGCCATTTGTTTTGAATAGGGTGAAGAAGGCATAGCAACCCTGCCCGGTTATTATTGCTGCCCGCATCCCCACTGGGAATATTCTCCTTCTCTATTTACCCAAGTTACCATTGTCTCTTGGACTGGGAAAGTGATGGGGAAAATGTTAAAATGTCACCTGTCCCAGCTTCTAATCGTAAATGGTGACCAAGAGCTGTTGACCAGCTCGCTCAGTTATCATGCTGTCTGTGCTGAGCAAGCACACTCTCAGCATAGAATAGCAATGCTTTATGTAACCATATATGCAGCAGCCTGGTGGTAAAGTCCACCCGCCATGTTGATACATATATGCATATTTCCATTGGCAAGTGCGTAAGCTTTACCTATACTGTCCAAAGCAAAACTTTTTTTTTTTTTTCAGATTTAAAGTAGAGCT